TGCACTGTATCAGACAATGTTTCCAGACTATTCATAAAGTTGCACAGTAATGTATCAGACAGTGTTTCTCTGCTGTTCCGAAGGTTTTCCCTGGCTAATGCTTTGAGAAGTGGAAGGTCTCTTCCTTCTTCCTAGTCTGTCTCAGTCTGTAAGTTGCACTGAAACCTGTACATCATAACCAACCCTGCAGGCATTTGAAACACTGGTGGCACAGCCTGAAGCCTCACAGCAACATGCAATCCACCACAGTATTAAAAACTGACAGATAAGTTTGTCTCCCTTACCTGTTTAAAACCTCTCCCCCTCCCCTTACCTGGATCCTTGCTGCCATTCACTCTTCCAAAATCTGTGGGACACAGCAAAAGCAGTGATCAGAGGGCAATTTATAGCAATCAATGTGGACGTTAAAAAAAAAGAGAGAGAGCTAAAATCAACAACTTAATGCAACATCTCCAACAATTAGAAGAAGAGCAGCAAAAAAGAAGAGTCTACCATCACCAGAAGAAAATAGTGAAAATTCTAGCAGATATAAATGAAACAGAAAAAAAGAAAACATCAACAGGATTAGAAGATAGTGCTGTGAAAAGATTAATAAAATCAACAAGTCACTGGCAAACTTAACAAAGAAAAAGAAGAAGATGAAAATAACATGGATAAAAAAAAAAAAAGGCTGACATCCTAACACAATCAACAGAAATAAAAAGAAGAATATCAAGATACTGTGAATAACGTTACTCTAACAAATTTTCAAACCTAGAAAAAATGGACAGATTTTTATAAAGACACTACCTACCTAAATTAATACGACTGAGGTAGAAAATTTGAACAGACCTATAACAAAAGAAGAAATTGAACAAGTCGTAAAAAAAAAAATTAACAAAAATAAGTCCTGGCTCAGATGGTTTCACTGGAGAATTCCATCAAACATTCAGAGAAGAACTGACACCAATCCTACTCAAACACTATTCCAAAACATTAAAAAAGATGGGATCTTCCAAAATCTATTTTACAAAGCAAGCATAACCCTGATACCAAACCCAAGCAAAGACACCACTAGAAAGAAAAACTACAGACTAATATCACTCCAGAATATAGATGCAAAAGTCTTCAACAAAGTCTTAGCCAACAGACTCCAGCAACCTATCAAGAGAATAATTCATTTTGACTATGTGGGGTTCATAACAGGTATGCAAGGATGATTCAACATTAGAAAAGCAATAAAAATAATCTGTCACATAAATAAAACAAAGGAAAAGAACAACATGATCACATCAATTAATATAGAAAAGGCATTTGATAAAATCCAACACCCATTCCTGATCAAAACTCTCAGCAAAACAGAAATAGAAGGGACATTCCTCAATATAATAAAGGGCATATGTGCAAAACCTACAGCCAAAATTATTCTCAATGGAGAGAGACTGAAACCATTCCCCTTGCAATCAGGAACCAGACAAGGATACCCTCTATCTCCACTTCTATTCAACGTTGTATTGGAAATCCTAGCCAGGGCAATAAAGCAATAAAGAGAAATCAAAGGCACCCAAGATGGTAAGGAAGAAGTAAAACTATCACTTTTGCAGATATAATTTGATCCTGTACATACAAAATCCAAGAAATTCAGCAAGAAAACTACTGGAACTTATGGAGAGATTTAGCATAGTGGCAGGATACAAGATCAACATACAAAAATCAGTTGGATTCCTCTACACCAGCAAGGAGATCTCTGAAAAAGAAATATGGAAATCAATACCATTTATAATAGCTACCAAAAGGATAAAATGTTTGGGAACAATTCTTACCAGGAACATAAAAGATCTATACAATAAAAATTATAAAACATTACTTCAAGAAAATATAAGAGATCTACATTAATGGAGCAACATACCATGCTCATGAATAGGAAAATAGAACATTGTGAAAATATCAATACTGCCCAAAACAATCTGTAATTCAATGCAATCCCAATTCAGATTCCATCAACATTCTTTAAAGACATGGAAAACCCCATCACTAATTGTATATAGAAAGGAAAGAGACCTCAGATAAGCAAAGCACTACTGAAGAAAAAGTAAGGGGTCCCACACTCTCAGATCTCAAAATCTACTATACAGACACACTTGTCAAAACAGCCTGGTATTAGTACAATGACAGAAACATAGACCAGTGGAACAGAATTGAGGACCCAGAAGTAGATCTATCAACCTATGATCAGTTGATCTTTGTCAAAGGGCCAAAATCCATTCAATGGAGAAGAGAGACTCTCTCACAAATGGTGCTGGCAAAACTGGATATCCATTTGCAGAAAAATTAAACAAGATCTATACCTCACTCCATACACAAGAACTAACTCCAGATGGATCAAGACTTAAATGTGTAACCTAAAACTACAAAGTTTATCAAAGAAGATATAGAGGCAAAATTAGGGGCCCAAATTTATGGTGTAAATAGACTATCAAGCATAATTCAAGTTGTGCAAGCAGCAGAACATAAAATAGATGATTGGGACCCTCTAAAAATTAAATTCTTATGTGCATCAAAAAAACTTCTCCAAAAGAGTAAAAAAAAAAAAAAAAAAAAATTGGCAATGACATATTGGACAAAAGACTTATCTCCAAAATTTATAGAAAACGCCAACACCTCAACATCAAAAAGACAAACAATTCAATTAAAAATTGGATTGGTGGGTGTTCCTTCCTTTCTACCTCCCTGGCCATCTTGATGGTTGCTTTTGGTTGGGGGCCCTCTTGCACCTGCAGCAGGAGGAGAGTAGCCACGAAAAAGAAGAAACATCACTGGAGTCGATCAACTCTAGGCTTCAACTTATGAAAAGTGGAAAATCCGTGCAGACTCTGAAGATGATCAGGCAAGGCAAAGTGAAAATGGTCATCCTCGCCAACAACTGCCCTGCCCTGAGGAACTCTGAAATAGAATACTATGCCATGTTGGCCAAAACTAGTATTCATCACTATAGTGGCAATAATATCAAACTGTCCACAATGTATGGAAAATACTACAGAGTATGCATACTAGCTATCGTTGATCCAGATGATTCTGATATCATTAGAAGCATGCCAGAACTGACTGGTGAAAAATAAATCCTGCATATTTTTCTTTAATAAAACTAACAAGAGCTTGTTCTTAAATAAATAAATAAATAAATAAACAGACAGAAGACACGAATAGACACTTCACCAAAGAAGAAAAGAAGATATTCAGGCAGCCAACAAATACATGAAGAAATGTTTGCTATCAATAGCCCTTAGAGAGATGCATATCAAAACAATCATGAGATATCATCTCACCCCAGCATTAACAGCAAGGTTCAATAAGACAGAAAAATCACAAATGCTGGTGAGAATGTAGAGAGACTGGGACTCTTATAAACTGCTTCTGGGACTGTAAAATTCTATAACCACTGTGGAAATCAGTATGGTGAGTTGGAAATAGAAATGTCATCTGATCCAGCAATCCTATTACTAGGAATATGTCCTAAAGAAGTAAGAGGCAGGACATAAATAGATATATGCACAACCATGTTTATTGCAGCACTAGTCACAAAAGCAAAAAGGTGGAAACAATCTAAGTGCCCATCAACTGAGGAATGGATAAATAAACTGTGCTATATACACACAATGGAATACTATACAAGCTGAAAGAATAATGTAGAATCTGCAAAATAATGCATAACATGGATGAATCTGAGGACATTATGCTGTATTAAATACGTGAATCACAGAGGGAGAAATACTACATTAGTTCACTATTATAAAAAGTCAAGGTAAGGTTTATACATGGAAGGAAACTTTCTTTGTTGGTTACCAGGGATGGGAGGGGAGGAGAGGTAAAATTTCTAGTTAGGTTGAAAAAAACAAAACAAATATTAGTGTTTACCAGGGATAGGATGGAGAGGGAAAGGGGAAGCTTGTTTTTTGGAGGGTATTGAGTTTATGATAACAGATGATGGATTACATTGGAAAAGAATAGCAACAATGATGACACAACATGAAAAATGTCATCAATGTCCCTGAGCTGTAAATGTGGAATTTTTGTGTTGGTGAATGTCTTGTTGTGTATGTTTCACCACAATAAAACTTAAAAAACAAGTCTGCTCATGCATTCAAAAGCTCAGATTTTCAAGTTCTTGACCTCACTTCCACTAAGCTTTTTCTCTATATCATATAATCCATCCAGCCTCATAGACTCACTCTTTATTATCACCAAAACTTCTGATTTATCAAATTCAAGCATTTCACTCTCTAACCAACATCTCTCTTACAGATAATTTACTCTGTTCCTTCACATTCAGTAATTTGACTACGCAATTGGTCCACTTTCTGCTACCCAATCATATATTTATTGCCATCTTTAGCCTATCAGATTTGTGGACCAGCATTATAACCATACACTTGCAAACACCTTTCACCATCCTGGACCCTGCCCTATGAACCCATTTTGAAAGTCCCATTCCTAGTTAAGTCTAATTGACAGCTCATGCTATACGTAAACCTGAGAAGCTGATCATGGTTGGAGAAGATCACACAAGTCTTTCAACAGATTTCACTTTAAATTTATCAACATGTCAAGATAATCTAACTACATCTTCCTAGTAAGTGTTCTTCCCACTGCAGAAAACTGTTTTGCACATTCTCCTTTTCCCTCAACTCTCCACAGCCCATTCTTCAGTATGTCACTCACTACTGATGACTTTATCTCACTTTCCATTAGGAAAATAGACAAAGAGAAAAATAACCTCATTTATCCATCAAGTAGTCCATCACCTTACATACATCTCTGCCTAGATTACTTTACCTTCCCTTTCATTATAATGAAATAAATATTCCTGCCTCTGTCTAAAGCCGATTCCTCCAGATAGGCTGTTGTTGATCTTCATCACCTTCCTCTTACTTGATTCTAAATGTTGACACTGTATTTCTCCCCTCACCAATCTTTCTCACATCATCAGTCCCTCTTTTAATACAAATGTTTTCCTTAGCCATAAAAATATGCCTTAATATTATGTTTTGTACAGTCCTTCTTTGACCTCATTCTCTTTTCATCCTCTACTTCATTTTTATGTTTCCCTTAAGAGTGCAAATAATAACATGCTTTCTTGCAACTAAGGGTCTTCATTTTCTCACCTCCAATTCTCTTCTCAACTCACTGTCATCTGATATAAGTATCCACTACTCTACAAATAGTTCTTAGCAAGGTCACAAGTGATCCTAATTGTGACATATTCAAATGGTGATCTCCTGTCCTCATCAAAAAGACCTTGTAGCAATATTTAAAACAGTTGACTATTATCCCTTTTTTAAAACAGAATTTTCCATGAGCTTTTTAGAAACTGTACCCTTATATTTTTCCTATGTCAAAAAAAAAAAAAAAAAAACCTTATCTCAAGTCAGCTTCAACTCATAGCTACCCCTACTTGAATTTCTGAGACAACATCTCTACAAAAGTACATTGCCCAGTCTTCCTTCTGAGTAGTTGCTGATGGGTTTAAACTGCCAGCCTCTGGTTTGCAGTTAAATGCCTTAGGCACTACGTCAACAGAGCTCCCTTTCCTATGTCAGAAGCCATTATTTCCCACTCTCTTTTGATGTCTGCTCTTTTGCTTAACATCTAAATCTTAGAGTATCCTAGGCTTAGTTTTTTGTCTTCATCTGTATCCACACTCTAACCTTAGGTGAAGTCATCAAATAGCAAAAAGTCTGTGGTTTGAATTCCGCAGACACTCTGTTGTTGTTGTTGTTGTTAAGTGCCATCGAGTCGTTTCTGACTCATAGCGACCCCATGCACAGCAGAACGAAACACTGCCCAATCCCGCGCCAGCCCCACAATCCCTGCTATACTTGAGCCCATC